GTGATACTTTTAAAGTCACTCTTCTTAAACTGATTCTGGTGATGCTACCTAGAATGATAATAAAGGCTTCACGATTACATTGTCCAAACCAAACAGCATAGCAACACCCGAATAATCCAACTCATCTGAATAGTTGGAGAAGCTTTGGGAAAATATAAACCGAAAGTGGTAGAAAGTTATAAAGAAAGAACAAGAATAAATCAAAAAATAATGAGATGAGGCATGACGATGATATGTGTATACATCTGATTCCAAGACATTGCCTAGAATATCCAACCATCGATTTCGGTTGTCAAGCGAATCCTGACCGAAAGGTCTACATTCCCCTACAAGGCTCAGACTAACAGTCAGAGGTTTCGTGCACTGATATCGTGTTTGAGTATGGGTGCCTCTAACCTTTCACTATCCTAAGCCTACTTAAGCTAAAATGTGAGATGAGGCAGATGGTAACTTGGCATGCGTAACCCATGTCCCAAGTACCTCGACTGACTTTCTTCTCATCCTTAAAACTCTGGAAGACTTCCACATTAATGACTTGGCGACACAGGAACACACGGTCTGTGTTATAAGGGGAATGGTGGTTAAACACTTGAAGCTTTCTTATGTCCTCTATCCACACTGGCCATGTTTCACAAAGGCATAACAAAACAAAGCGAACTGGTGCGTAGTATATTAAACCCTTAATGGGCAGTCCGACATACCATGGTGCTGTAAACTGGCGAAAGCCAAACAAACCTTTGCTTTCCGTGCAGAGGTTTCGTTGGTCACTAATTTCCTAGTGTTGATCCGACTTCCTGCGGAGCGAAGTGATTAACGCGCTTAAACATTTTACTCGCTATTGTTAGACAGGTCATTGGTGAAGACCATCCCTGGAGCAACAATTTGCATTTGGGTGGCGGGAATCACATCCTAAACATTCTCAAACTACCACTCAAGGTATTCAGAGGGCTGCATCTTTACTTAACTATGCCATCTGCATAATTCCTACATATCACGGATTCTTATGAGATAAGATCAAACTTTATGAAGTTACACAACGACAGAGAGACCTCCATAACTACGCCAATGATAAAGCCGAATAGGAATGAACATTTCTGACGGACAACACTTGACGTACACAACTCACCACAGGCTCTGACACGTCCACGAATGTTTGAGTACAGGATGATGTACCTACCAGGCACCCATTTCAAAGAGACACCGTCATAAGAATTCCCGGTTGACTGCGTCGAATGCTGCCTTCAGGTCGAAAAATACAGCCGGTAAGCGCGCCTGTATTGCAGAATCCGGTGGAGGATGAATATCTTGTCGATACTCTCACAGCCAGGTCTTAAGTCTGCGTAGTTTTCTGCCCCCGATCTCTACTCAGACTTCTAAGAATCAAAGGACCCACTATCTTAGACACTGTGTTCGTCGGGCTGTTTCCCACACAATTATCACTTTTCTTGAAGACGGGGAAAATCGGTTATTTACGACGGTCGGAGGGTATTGTATCTGACTTTCAAAAACTAGATAACACATGAGTCAACCTGATTAATAATCCTCCACCATCATCCTTAAACACTCTTGATGCTAGTTCGTCTGGCCCTTGACTTCAGTAAGTGCTGAGAGTCCTATCTTGATATTCCGTTCAGGAACCATTTGAATAGTGAGCAACGGAATAGTAGCTAGAAGTCAGCTGAGCTGTTGCTCAATGTTCCACCATCATTCCAGTCATACACCTTGTGAGCTAATCATGGACCCAATCTCTTTCGTAGGTCTCACTAACCACTGACATCTTAGATCAAGCTTCCTTAATAAGTCTAAATAACTACCTACTGTTATCTTTCGCAGTGGAGCTGTGGCTCAGTGGTTTAGGGAGGTGAATATCAGCCAATAGGCAACGGGTGCTAGCCCCGCTCCACCTACCGGGGTTTGTGCAGCCACGTAGTATCACTAACCCTCACATAATAGGTAAAGCTCATTGTCTACCACACGAACGTGCACAAGGTTTTTGAATGCTTTTCATTATTTTTCGCTAATGCCTTTTCCATCTATTTAACCTTCACTTCCCATAACTGTTCTTGGTCATTGTGTAGACCAATTGTCCATCTACATTTGAGTTGCTTCTGTTCCTCATTGTACTCGAAGCACGCAGGGATGCGTTCACGTGTATACATTCATTTAGAAGCTGCTGAGATCCGCTGACCTCTTTCTGATGGTCATCTAAAATCTTTGACGCTGTTATTACAGCAGACTGGAGATGGTACCAGACTACTGGATAATTGATGCTTTTGTGTACCGACAACTGTTTAGCCAGTTTCTCACTGAAAGAAGCTTAATTATTCTCATCATCGAGCTGCACTCACAATAGTCCTGTTGCAGTGTCCATTTAAATGCAGACAAACGCATGGTCGCTAGCCAGACTCGTTCTCTAGAGAGAGAGAGAGACAGTCCTTCACCAGCGACAATCGATAGCAACATGGTCTATCTGTATCCATCCCTGAGTTGGGGTCGGAGAATTTCTCTCCTTACTTCTGAAGCTCGCTCTGATCACAAATTGGTGGTTGTTTGATCATAACTTTGGCAAGGGATTGACGTTATCTGTTCGTTTGGCTGAGATTCCGAAACCTCCTTCCAGATGGATTCACGCTACCTACCTGCGCATTGAAATCATTTGATAAGACACCCAAGTCTGAACGCTTAGCTTTAAGCAGGAGGGTGGACAGTTTACGTTAGAATTCATTCTTCATTTCATTTGAGCTCCAATCAATGGGAACGTAAGCAGAAATTACGAGAGGACAACACTGAGTTTCATTATTCCTTCCCATCCTGACTGAGCATTCCAATCGAACAGAGCACTGACGACTGTAAACTGGAATCAAGTTGAGCAGTACGGCACCTAGCTTACCACTTAATGTTAAACCTATACATGCAAGACCGTAAGAAAAAGGTATCGGATCTCCAGACACTCGATAGGTAAATATTGCAGTTTCACCATAGTGACCGGATCAGGCTAAGTAAATAACCGCACTTAACTTTTGCTTGCGTTTCACAAACACAGAACGCATCTATGGGCCAAAATGCTATTGCTTTCGCTAGCAAATCTTGGCCGATATGATAGAGAATGCGGACATTGTAAGCTGCAATATGTAGTTTGGAGCGTGATTTCAGGGAACCAGGGATGTTGTTCCATGAATTCTAATCGTTATCGAGCTAGAGGAAATTTAAGATGACATAGGAATATTGACCAAGAGGTAGAGATATAGAAGGTTGATATCTCCCAAGCCAAGGAAGGTTAGTTGTTCTTGGCGTACACGAAAAATGAGGCTCAGTGACCGCAGAATCCAAGGCTTGAGACAGGTCATGTTTGGCCTTTATAGAAATTTGCAGTTTAGTTTGTCTTTTCGAATCCGACTATGAACCCATACCGCCAGACCGGTATGCCATGGAGTAGAAGGAAGTGTTATTCAATATTCGGAGCTTATTCAGTTACTTCTGTCCACTGGTATGCATACGCTTCGGAATTTCGCCACTTAATTACCATACACGCCTATACAATGATTAGGATCTTCTCGGTGCATGCAGTAAACACCTGTCGAATGCTTAAAGTGCATATAGTAACATAATAGTATGTGTAGTTAGGAAAATTAGACACTTTTTTACCAACCAGGCAAGATGACTTTATCCACATGAACAAATCATCAGCTCTAATGTAGACAGAGGCAATGCTACAAAGACCAATCAAATTGGGATGGTGAAACTGGCTTACAGATGGAGTCGTAGCTTACATTATTTATAAGCATATTAGGTTAGTATATAACGCTTGTGAGAAAAATATCAGTCTAGACAGTTCTTGACTCATGTTTCTCAGCGTCTAACTATTTGCCTGACTAACATAAAATGTTGGACGACTCCATCAGTCGAAAACGCTGATAAATTCAATTTTCTCTGGACTACTCAAATAGAAATCTAAACACATTCTAGGTGATTTCGCACCTATCAAAAGTCTGGTGATGTCCCAAGACTGGTCTGCACCGACTCAGTATAAAGATAGTAGCTAAATGGGTTAACTATATCGCTTGCCTGGAAAGCTCCATCAGCGGTATTCGGGTGGTGGCTGATAAAACTCTAACAAGGGTCCAAAGTGCCTATTTTGTATTTTCAAAATGTGAGATATCTGATTACAGAACGAGTATATTGTACAGTAATTTGCTCATCCTGCCTCACGGCTGTCAGAAATGACGGTCGAAGGCGGGCAACATAAGATTGGAAACTTTCACGCTTAAATGTCCACACACCATTGTTGATGCGTGGTCGAACCACTGCGTAAAAAGTGCTACGACCAGGCGCAGAACATTAGGTAAACGAAGCAAGTCAGTGGATGGTGTGAACCACAACTGACTGGGAGGGGTCTAAATGGTCGATCTGTTGTGACTCACCAGCCTGGACACTCGACTTTGCTGTGCCACGGGTTCGAACCCTGTCCCACCAACTGAGGCATAGGCCGCCAGGTAGTATCATCAGACCTGATAAAATAAGTGTGGCTCACTGCATAATATATAAGAGTGCATGCAGTCTCTGAGTGGATTTCAATTCCCTTCGACGACCAATATCAGCTGAAGTAGAGTTGGTTAATCTTTATTATGACAGTGGTATATATTGGAATGAAAATGGTGATACTCTCTCGTTTCATATCCGTTTCTGTTGATTTTCATATAATTCTACTGGTGTCCACTCACTATTGTTGCAATGTTGTCAGATGTGGCAACTTGGGATGGCGCAGTTTTGCGAAACCGTTTATGGTGAACTGTCTTTCCGCATTACAACAGAAACTTCATCAATGTCATAGTCCAGATTAGTACGAAAAGAATTGCAACGGTTGTCATGAAATGCTTACTTTACAAGCTATTTAACCACAAACTAGAGTTCAAAAGCAGTCTTGTAGAGTGTAACTAGAACAGTACAATATTTTTCAATACCATATTCATAATCCCATAAACCAAAAAACTCAACTAATTGTTTATGTGATAAATTTATTTGAAAATAACGCCGAAAACTCACAATGTGGGCAGAGAGTAAAATACAGTTAACAGTTGGCTAGAAACAGGCAAACGAAAACAGAGAAAATGGAGAAATAGTAAAGAAAAGAGTTATGTTAGAAAAACAACAGCATCACAGTTACACGTCATTATATTATGTAATCGCATCACAGGCCGCTTTCTGGACCTATGTCTTTATATAATGCACCTCTATGCACCATGATGCGATACTCAGAGGTCACTGTGCAAAAGTAGCTTTATAATTTATTGTTTTTACACGTCACTTAGTGTAACGCTGAAGTTAAACGACCAGAAGACAAAACGACATACTGAATATTGGACAAAGAATGTCGGAATTGCAAAATTACAGCTTCTCCTGGAAAACAAGAACAAATGATATATATACATGCATATAAGCTGCTTGAAGTTAATTTCTAAACTGAACCGACTGTTCCACGTCTGTGATGCATGAATTTATTCAGCTGATGTTAATTAACTTCTTAAAGACCACTAACCAACCACTCCTTGCATGCATTTAGCGGTAACACTTCGTTTTATTATTACTTTCAAACAACTTTGTCCATCTAAGAAATGCGCCACAAAAAGTTGTTAGCAATGATAGTCTTATTCTGAAAGTTAAAATGCCTTCAAATAATCACTCAAATGCCATGCAGATTTCATGTTTGTTATCTTTCCGGTCTATAATTTCATGCTGACTCCGAGACTAGTTTTGCAGTAAGTAGGTCTACAACTTGGTATTGAGTGATCTCAAATGTTTGTATATATACCATAATCGAAAGCAGTAACCAACCTTCAACAATTTTCTTCGAAAATTGACATAGACACAACGATAAGTTCGAATAGAATTAAAACCTACTCAGCAACCTTGTGTACATTCGTGTAGTAGGTAACGAGCTACACCTATTGCATGAGGGATAATTATGCTCCTTAGCCGCTCAAAACCCCGATATATGGGACGTCTAGTATTATATATATATATATATATATATATATATATATATATATATATATATATATATATATATATATATATATATATATATATATCAGAAATAAACAATCTAGCGTTAGTTGTGACTGTTCAAGGACTTGTGATTACTTTTTATTAGTCACAAACTAACGTCACTGAGACAACTATGAAAATTTTAGCATGATGAACTGGTATTTCTTTTTTGATTATGATCTTACAAAAGTGTAAGCGTTTTTACCAACAATTTCACAATAGAAACTAGGAATTTCTTGTCTCTTGGGTTACCGATTATAGTATGATTTTTATTATAAACCGAGAAAACACGATGATTTTAAGAGAATAAAAGTGAGTATTTAAAGATTTAGCGAATAAACGGCATAACTTACCAGGAAAACCCTATCTGGAAGCTCTAGAAGAACGTTTATTACTGGAGTAACGTTGTTATTCAATCGACCACGAGTATTTGAACTAGTTTTGCTTGACGGTCGATGACGAATTCGTCTACGTGTACCAGATAAATGAGGCAGATTCTCAGGCGGTAAAACACGGTATATTCTAACAAGCCAATGTTTCGATGTAAAAGCTTCCTCTAGATAATCTAACTCGAAATTTTTACGACCGATTTCTACTCCTCTAGTACGATCATATCCAGCTGGTGTACGCATATCTAGACGAACTTCTCCAAAACGATAATAGCTTAATTTGTACATTAAACAATTGAGCATTGTTTTAGAGGCTTCTCTATCTATACGATAGTCACCCTGAATAGGAAAAAAGGTTAGAACAAAAAATAAGGACAACAGTGACATTAAAAAATTGAAATTTGAGAGCTGTCAGCAGATAGATTTCAATTGTTGTTGTCGTCTAACAGAAGTTGATCACAGTCAAGGTTCCCTAAGTCACTTTCAAAGAACTAAATATTCCCATTGAGCTATATCATCATCTGTAGCTGTACAATAACGTTTGAGGATAGTTAATGTGTATAAGAATGTCAATATTTGTTAACCACTAATTGTCAGTAGTTTTTTGCCATAAGAATAATATACGAATGGAAACTACGTAAGAAATATCAGTTTTTTCAAGTTGGTATTCATCAAGGACTGACATCAGTTGGAGGAACATTGGGACTGTTCGGCGGTGCACACCCACAACCCCGCCAGGGATTGAACACGCAACCTTAAGGTTTCGTGGCCAGCAGGTTACCATTGAGCTAGCCACTGAGTCGGAATCCAGTGGTCCATATTTGTAACTTTTGTCAGTTCACAACACAGTGCGACTAACTTGAAAAATCTGTAAACCCTCACAAACCCCAAATTCAAATATTGAAGTATTTGACAGTGTGAGTTGAAATCAAGAAGTAGAGAATTCGCGACAAAATGAGTAGACAACTGTCACTGAGCAAGGAAATGAAAAACTTGTAATGATGCTAAAGGAGAATCGTTTACTTAATAATAACATGGAAATTAAAAGATTGGTTAAGCTTAAGAATTGGAAAGTTCAAGAATTAGGAAATGAATAAGAACAGGGAATAACAAAGTTGTTTCTGGACACACAACTTTGGTTTCGATTGTTGTGTTGTCAGAGCTTCAGTGATGCAAAGTAAACATTTCCTCGTACCCTTCGGAGGATTACACTGCGCTAACGAATCTTCTGCAACTATGTTCACTCTAAACCAAACGTTGTGTTTTGGAGCTTTTGACTAACCTGCATAGGACTTTTGCTAAGCCAGGTTAGAAGGTGTTAGTGACGACGTTGGGTAATTTGTATTTGCTTACGATCTATGTGCCTAGCTCTATAGGAGCAGAGGAATTGATATATGCACAATGAAGTGGTTAGCAGTGACAGTTTGTTCCTTGTACATCTGTTGCATAGAATGTTTTTTGATAGCCTTCATTAGTTTGTGTTTTATTACTTTATCTACTGCATCTTCATTGAATTCCAAGTTCAAAATTAGCTTCTTCTTCACAATGATGAGAGGCTAGTGTGTAACATTCCAATGTAGATTTCTATCTATGAATCTTTTTGAGTATCCATTTTCGATAAACATTGATTTTAAAAATTGAAATTCTTCTTCTTCTTAAGTGTTAGGAGTACAAATCCTGGGGGAACTCAAGAGGAAAAGGGGTGGGTTAAATTTCTTTTTCAGTCGATAGGTAGCCAGCTGTGAAAGTTTGTCATTTGTCTATTTCACACAGATTTTCGATAAACAGATTTTTTAAGTGTCTCATCATCCCTTCTTCTTGTTAACAATACTTCAATGAATGGTGATTACATTCCCCACTGAAAATTTATCGAGGAGTGACATCCATTGAATAACTGGAGTACTCACTACAAGTCACAAACAATAACAGCATCATCGAAATATTTTCTGTTAAGTTCAAACAGCTTGATAACTGGATTGAGTATAGGTTTTTTTGTTTAACCATAATGTCTATCTGCTAACAACGGACTCAATGGTGAACCTATTGTTGTACTGCACACCAAATGTCCATCTTAAGATTAGTTCCTTTAGACATTTTGTTAGTTCATCGATATTAATTACATACGAGTCAATCCAGTCACATATGAAACAAACTGTTTCAATCAGTGGGAAACCTATGAATAATGAGGTAACATCAAATGATAACATAACATAATCCAAAACGCTTACATTACATATGGAATCGATAAACATGAAAGTATCCTGTAGAGAATAATCAGAAACTTGCCTTCTTGTGGATTTTAGAAGTTGAGATAACCACTTGGTAATTAAATGATAAGCTAAGCTGGACATATATAGACGACAAGTCAGCTTTATAGGTGATTTAAGCATATAACTTTTTTAACACAATAGGAAGACACAACAACACTGGTGAATACGAATGCAGATATACCTTAATGATGAGAAAATAAGCCCTAAACCCAGGTCTAGAGTATCCTTAGTACTTCCTCTGAAGTATCTTATACATACAACTTGGTGACTTATAAAAAACAATATTTTATTTACATAATTCCGTTTCTGTGTTAAAATCGATCACAGTATTTTTTCTCAACTGTTGACAGCCTTCTGTTCGCTAAGTTTGTAATTTGGCAAGAGAGATTGTTTTTTGGAATCAGCTGGAAGATTTCTTTCATCAAGGATTCATTCTTGTTGGAAATTACTTCAGTAGGTGTATCTATAATCACGATGAGGTTGATACTTTCTGAATTATTTGAACTACAGTTAGAAAAGTTACCACCAAACTATTGAGACTGCAACAGACTTCTTATAGGACTGGATTAGATATACCGATAGGTCATTAGTGTATTCATGAAGATAGTGTGCGCTAGCTTTAAGTGTCGACTGAATTACACCGATCGTTCAATGTGATGTTTAAATTATCATTTTCAGGAGGAAATGGCATACGATACAATGTAAGTCACTACTACACATAAAAACGTGCATACACATACACTTCAATAGAAAACTAAGTGCCTGCATGAAACATTGAGCTGGAAGTATATACTATAAGACGATATAAATGAATACAAACAAAAACTGGTCTATAGATGCATAAGTAGGAATCAACAGAAATTTAAAAGACATTATGAACAATAATAATAATGTGAATCAGTAGTGAGGTACGACCTTGTGAATTAGTTCATAAGTCAAATCCGTTATGTGAGTCCCTACCAAAATTAATTGGGAGGGTGGAAGTAGATACGAGGAGATTTCAACTCATGAACCAGTAATTCGCAGTTGAATGTCTAGATCGCAGAGCTATGGCTTCAAATATTTGAAAACCCTAGTATGGATGCAGATCCACAGACCGCTGCAGTCAACACTGTTAGTTGGTTGAACTAGGGTTACACTGGAAGTTACAGGTGGTCCGATTAGGAAATGACATCAACCTATGAAGTATAAAAAAACTTCAGTGGACATATTTATTTTTGATATAATTTTCAGAAGCTAAACAATCTAATTCAAATATAATTACAACTTACATCTAAGTTCTTCATCATTACATGTCGACAAAAGCTTCGCATTATCGTTTACGTCTGGTTTGTCAAATGAGAAGTGTAATAGTCAGACAAAGCAGAACCCGAACACTGGAAACTACATTGTAACCACATACGATTTAGTGAACCATAACTTTTGTAAAATGGATTATTAATACTACCTGACTTTCCTTAAAGCCTCAGTTAGTGCAGAGGTTGCCAAAGCTATGACCCAATCAAGAAAGCTTGGCATAATGTGCCAATACATTACGGCGTATACAAGGAGTAAATTTAAGTTGTCAGCCAGTATGTAAATGGATGCCCGACACTCGCTCTAAAGTGTGGTATCAACTGAGAGACAAAAGTAAAACGAAAGAACACATACAACAGAAATACTGAAAAGTCACTGACTATTATACTGTGGAATGTGTGAAGGAAGAGGGTAGAGAAAAAGGGAATGAACCACAGCTGTTGTATGAGGGCTACCCAAACCTAGGTGGGTGGAACCCCAATCCACTGGTTGGAAGTCCTGTGCCTAAACCAATAAGGCACAAGTCGTAGTAAATCAGTATTTTATACACCTTTTTGTTTATCAATTTCAGACGATTCATTTTTCCTAGCGCCCACCCCTGCATCTCATATACACGAAACTTTTTGTTCTAATAAGATCAATATATATGACATCTTAACTTCATTTCAATTTACAATTTAATTACATCATTACTGTCTTGTTTTAACTGATCTTAAAGAGCTAAAGTATGTCAATAGTGTGTTTTAGTTTGTGATTGTAAAAATGTTACAGATTGGAGGAAACCAAGGAGAACTACCGCAATAATAAAATGGATCTAATGTTTGTTTTTGCACTTCTGAAGCAGTATTACCGTATTAAATCCCGCCTTTTCTCAGCCAACAAGCAATTTAATCAGTATGGTTACCCATCTGATAGGAGACTTCAGTTCTCTGCATGTTTCTCTGTCTTTAAACAATGAGCGTTATTACATAGGCGTTTATCACACAGATATGCTTATAGCCTGAGATGAACCAATCATTTGCAACATTTACGCTGGGTAATGTCCACTCTTCCAATTTCTACTTTAAAACTAGACAAAGAGCCAAACCCATTATGTGAAAGCTTAGGATAGTAGCCAGGTGGTCTCTCGTGGGTAGAGAGAAGTTTGAACCCGAGAGCCACTTCGCCATAGGAGTAATTTTGAGGTTATGTAGTAATGTCGCGTTCATGTTTGTCAACCAGTATAGTCCCTCTTCAGTATACAAAATAATGCTTAAAAAAAGCAATAAGAAACAACTTACGGATGAAGTCAAGAAATCCTGTTCACGAATTTCAGTTGGATGTTCACCCCCACCAATACGGACCATCCATAGGAATTTATTGATATCATCACCACTATAACCAATATAACCACCAAATATGACAAGCACATAATCCACATCCAAACTTTGGATAGTCTAAGGGAAGAATGAAAACACAAGACGAAAATAATACTGTATTGTTTTAACCGACCAGAAGTAAGGTAGACGAAGTGTTCTTCCCGGATTGAATTGGTTGAGGAATGGTTATCTGAGGCATGCACAGGAGTAAGAATTTTTTAACTAAGATGCTAGAAAATAAAGATTATAGACTCTAGTTGATACTGCACAGTCGATCAAAGTAGAACTGATGCATTTCCTTTATTAGGATACCATGCGAAGAAATCGCGTTTCTTTCAGTAGGAGGATAGTTCTCATCATGGGTCAATACACAACCGGAGTATTTATTGCTCATTCTCGTTCACCGGATAGATTCTTCCTGAAGCCAAATACGTTATCTTCAAGTCTCGTGAAGAAAACATTGCTGAACCAACGAGTTAAAATCCAGCATACAACATAACTCTATGGTTTGTGATTTCGATTGCAAACAAAATCAAAGACTATACATTAGTCAGCAGTTTCAAAACTGTCTACAGTACCTTTGTTCACATAGGCTCTTTGATAAGTCAAGTAAGTTCGTGCACAAAGATAATGTTCAAAGTGATCAACCTTGATCATTTACTTACCTTGTAAGCTTCAGATTCATTTGATGCCATAGCCTTACCAACTAAGGCGATATGACTATTATTCCACGTGTTATTATCAACTAGAGTTGTTCGGTTAGCCATTCCAGCGATTTGATATCCATAATCCCACCAAGACATAACTCGTGCATCCGGTTTAGTATTTTGCCATAGCCAGAAATATGCCTCACTACAAATAATGTAAATATTCATCTAATCAGTTAACTCTGCTAATCATAATGTGATTATGAAGATAATTAACGAAGCAAAGTATAGGAAGGATCGCAGAAAATCTCTTTACAATTTTGTCCGAAGTCACGTTCTAATTAGCTATAAACTCAAGTGGTGCTAGTTGGTTAGAGGCAACTGGCAGGAGACTACATAACAGTAGGAAAATTACCATTTCTTAATGTTTAATTTGAAGAGACTTATCTCAACTGAATAACCAGTCAAAACTTTGTGAAAGCTACTCACTTAATAAGAAGTGTAACGAAGGCTCATTGTTGTTCTAACATAACCAGATTGATCCAGTCATTGACTATGGCTAGAAGTTCACGGAGTTTTGAGAAAAATGGATTCCAGTAGACGACATCGAGTAAAGTGTAACGTAATACGACTTAACCTCCAAGGTCATAAGTTACACTTTCTCATAAAAGAAACGACGTCAAATGGTAACTTTGTTAATGTACTTTGATGCAACATGAATGTTGTTTATGAAATGACAACAGGTGGAATAGGGTTCAGTGATTTACAAGGGAATGAAAGGCAAAATCATGCACATGAAATCGAATAGTGTCAGATACTTTTGTGCAAATCTCCTCCATCCAAATCAACATACGACTAGGCATTACTGCGTAACGGTTCGAGTTGCCACACCTCATATCAGTACATTAAGTAAAAAGGCAGTGAAGTGGAAGATGAAGAAAACACAATTCAATCAAAAGAAATATAATGTACTAAAAGAGAGAGAGGAAGAATGAGAAAATGGTGGGACTCGGTATGACGTTAAGATGAGGATAATGTATGTATGTATACATCTGTACCACTGACAGATTATGGGCCACATCGCGTAGTCAGTCTCCAACCACTAGTTTCTCTTGTCCTGCGGACCCCGACCGGCTGGTCTGCATTGCTCCACATGGCTCAAGCCAACAGTCAAAGACTTCACACATTGATGCCATGTTTTAGTGTGGCCACTTCGAGCCACTTCCAGCCTGAACTTGCTTCGACCAACATTGTGTGACGAGGCAGACGGTGACTAGACATACGTAACACATGCTTCAGTCATCTCAGTCGATGAAGGTTTACAACCTCGTCAACCGACTTATCTCTTCTCCCTAAAACTCTACTCCTGACGTCTGCGTTACTCACTTGGTGACACCACGAAATATGGCGGCCTATACTACGAAGGCAACGGTGGTCAAACAGCTGAAGCCTTCTCATGTCTTCCACCTTCGATGGCCATATTTCACAGTCATAGAGTAGGACACAGAGAACTGCTGTGCAGTACACACGACCCTTGATAAATAATCGGATATCACGGCGGCGCCACAGGTGGCGTAAGTTATCAAACGTCAATCGAGCCTTTTGTATTCATGCAGAGATTTCACCGGCTACGGAGCCATCAGGGCTGATCCCACTTCCCAGGTAAGTGAAGTGGTCAGCATACTCAACCATTGCACTCTCTACTGTTAGCCGTGGCACCGTTCAAGACCGGTCCTGGGGCAGAAATTTGCATTTAGGTGGTGAGAACCGCATCCCAAACATTCTGAAATTGCCACTCAAAGTGTCCAGAAGATTCTACATCTTGCCAGCGCCTTCACCTAACAGGAAAATATCATCTGCACATTCTAGGTCTAACGAAAACACCCGCGATTACGTCAATCTCTGTGTAATCCGGTAACGAGAGGGAGACCTACATAAGAACATCTATGATAAAACTTAATAAGAAAGGGGAGAGTAGGCACCCTTGACGGACACCACTCGACGAGCACAGCTCCCCAGACACATCACCATAGGCTCTAACACACCCACAAGTATTCGAGTAGAGAGCCTTCAATAAGGTGATGCACTTGGCGCGCCTTACAATGAGAGACACTGATATAAGACTTCTCGATCAACGGAGTAGGATGCCACCTTCAGATCGAGAAATACAGGTATTGTCAGGCGTCAGTAAGCGTGCCAGTGTCCCAGAACTTGGCACGATGTGAATATTTGGTCGATACACCCGCAGCCGGGTCTAAAGCCTGCCTGGTTTTCACGAGCTTGCTTTTCCCGAGCTCTACTCAGGCGCCAAAGAATTATAGAACCTAAAATTCTAGATACTATGTTCATCAAACTGATTCCTCTGTGGTTGTCAGAGCAATCGGCCTTCGGAAATAATAAACTGATATGCCAGTCACAATAATCTAAATAAGTAAGACTTGTAATCATCAAAATGACAGGATAGGAAAAGCATCCAACATTAGGCAGAAATGAGAAGGGATCATAAAATACGTTTACTGAAAGACAAAATTCAACAGCATGGAACATTATTTGAGCAAAACAATTTGAATAGTGTCAGAAAAAACATGAGTTGTATTCTCAGGTAAAAACTAAATAGAATTATGCCAGATGTTACTTATTTATCCGTCTTTATATGATTAGAATATTTCATTTGAGTTTGTGGATTATTGAGACAACAACAGAACGAGTGATAATGAGAAAAGATATAAGTAGCTAGTAAAGAACTTGTTATCCGTTTGCTACCTTAACGCACTGACACAGTCAATACAGGTTGCTTGAAATGCTTTTTCTTTATACCAAAGTATCAAGTGGTAATGGTGTAAGCAAAGTAAAATACTGTTGCAGCAAAATTTGTATTGAAATAGGTGTTATACCAACAAAGGTACTAAAATGAAACGTAAACAAAATATTTACAATTCCTCCTAGTGAATTAATACATGCTATTGTCACGTATACTGACAGGCGAGAGCTATGGTGACGGTGACATAAAGTATAATTAAACCAATTATTAGCAGAAAGTAACACTGAATATTATGAAACTTAGGAAATCGACATAGGCTGATTCAAAGATAATGTTTACAAATTACTTGGTAGTTGTATAGCTGATGGAGCATAGATTGAGAAGGAATCGCTTTTAGAATTGTTTATCTGAGTCACAGTGGATTAAACAACGTCTTTGCGTTAGCTATCTTCAGAGATTGAAGTACTAATCATCTACCAAAATGTCTAAACAATCTCTTGAGAAATAAACTCGTAAAATTTGTAAAATCCCAAATGACGTAGAAAAATCATTTTCTAACGTTTCGCGAGTTCCTGTAAATCGTTTCTTCAGAGAATAAATAGTAAATTTACTATTTAAACAGTTAATAACTTGTATAGATTTTAGTTTATTTGTCGGTTGTTTTAATTATTTGGTAAAAAAGATGAGTAGGATTTCTAAGAAAAAAACACTTCTGCTCTTCCATTGCAAGAAAATCCTTCAATACTTGTGGAGAAAGTTTCCACGTTGAGCTACATCTGTGTATTTAATGACTTGCTTCTGTATAGTTTACTACATCAATCACTAACAGCACTCAAGGACATTACACTTAGCTGAAGGAAAAAAACACCGAATGTCAACCGCTTTATCACAGAACATCTCTTGGAATCGGAACACTCAGCTCCCATACAAAGTTCAAACAAACTTCTATAAAGGAGTGTAAATAAACCGTGTGCCTAATTGAAGCATTAACAACATATAAAAATTACATGCAAAGTATATCAAACCAATATTAATTTTAATTAGGAAAGTGAAGCAGTGCTTATGAAGTATTCTGTTAAGTTTGTAGGTTGACCGGTGACGAAAACAACAAGTCATAGATTCTGACATTCGCCAACTCATGGCTGAAAAGGCACAGATGATACTCTCAATTACAGTTAAAGATTTGACAAAATACCTCAACAGCACAGGTGAATTCCGTTACACTACTTTTAGATGGAGCTACTTAAGTTCTGAAGGTGCATGAATATGTACCTATATTCGCTGTCTGTTGGATGAAATGATTTGTATAAACCTTGTAAAATAGAGACTATAAAAACGAATAATACAAAGATTATACACAAATATACAATAAGCAAGTCAGCTTACCGGAAGTCATCTAAGATATATCGAGATCCATCTTTATTATATGAAGCCAACACAATAGATGGACTTGAATAGGCATTAGATGATACCCAGACACAATGTGAAACAAATAGATAGAGAATAAATATGATTAATACATAAACGATTGCACGAAGATTATTTCCATTTGCCGGAGGTGACTTCTGTGTTGGTCGACTGGTTGCAGTAGTGCTTGATGAAGTATCCTGATCAACAGTATTTAGCTGAAAAGAAAATGGGACTTCACAGTATGGATTGTTTATTTTTATTTCATCACTGCTATAATAAGTGATATAGATTCAATACCATCAGTCTTGTACAAAAATATCAGGTTAAATAGGTAAGGGTGATATGTTCCCTGTGTTTAAATTAATAGTATCGGTAGGTTTCAATTCCAAACAAGCAAGTTAAATTTAGCAGTGGTGAATTCACGAAGAGTTCAAAGGATTGCAAATTCCTGGGATGGCATCTTTCAATCTCTACATATTCTGGGAAACTAAGCAACTCGGTGGTATAAGATGAAATATGCAATCAAGGGATCGAAGAGATAGTTATGTTATGTATCTTTTTCATGTGACTGTTTCCAACCTTTCGATGACTGTTACGATTACCTTATATTACCTCTCCCTTATTTTTTTGTGAGGTCATATTCTGTCTGTTAGGCAACAGTGAACTTTGTCCCTTCATGTACTGAATTCGTTTTAGATGGACAAATAATAGACAAACATAGGCTAAAAGCAAACCAAAAACAACAAAAGAGGTTAAAATTACCTTTTTGTTCCCCTTGCTTGGTTTATCATAGAGACGTTTATCAGCTACAGAATTCTGTGTATCACCGTTGGATCGACTAGTTGTCATACTACTGTTTTCCGCATCATGTTCATCCAAAAACAACTCAAAGATACGTGAAAAAGCGATAGCAGAAAATACGCAAACAATCGGTGTTAATGTAAGCATGAGACGAACCATGACACCGGCAAAATATGATGCAAATATTGCATATAGAATAACAAAAACACGTTCATCATTCAGATCTTTGAAGCACAGCCGTACACCAGCTGGAAATGTAGCAATTAACACATGCAGATCGAAAAAGAAAGAAGCCCATGAAGTAGGTTGGTGTTCGGAAACTGATGTAATAATTGGGATGTGTATCTTGGCATATCCGGTATCCCACAATGAGTAAAATCTGTAAGTGAGTTCACAATTAAGAGTCATACATTAAGACACGTCGGTAAAAATTTGACTATAAGTACACTATAAATACATATATATATTCTCAGTCATTTCCGCCATCATTTCAAGTCACTCAGGTGAATGATCTCTCAGTTTTCATCCAGGGAGTCACCAGGCATCAAAACGATGCTAACTCAACATAATTATCCTACATTTCATGGGGCCACATCATATAGTAAACACTTTTCTGTTTCCTTGAGTCAGTCCCTAGACAAACAGACAGTGAGGTATTGAAGTGACTGGGACGACGCATGTTAAGCCAACAAAGTCAATGTTCAAAGACTACCTTACTCAATGAATAATGACCTTCATAACGCCTGAACACCTCAGAATTCCCTACACGTCTTCACCAAGTGGCGACCTTTCGAAGACAACAGTCATTGAAAACACAGTCATAGTACATTCTCACCTCAGAGAGGCCAGCTTTTAAATATGCGGAACAGAATTATTTATACCGATGCACTTTGTGCCTGATCATTTACAAGTTTAGCGTCACAATCACACCAGAAGTGATTCCCACAGGTGCATCCCACTCTGGCTTTCGATATACGACTGAAAATGTTAACAGTGTGGGGGCACTTACAGGCTGCTGCCTATTTTATCGAAGCACTTTGATGTTGCAAAACAGAAACCACGCATAGATACTGACCACCAACTGACTTTGTGAGATTTGAGTACCATCTAGGTTGTTGCACAGAAGAAATATTGTTAGCATACTAAAGGTCAAAAAGTCTCACCTCCTAACATGTTTACGTAAACCATACGCACCTCCTTCAGGGCTGTCTTAAAAAGGTCATCGGAGGCATGTTTAAAAAGGGATGATGAAATCAGGGAACCCTGTCTGACCCAACTATTGGTTTGGAACAACCGAAAGGGAGCTATATGTCATAGCTCTACCTCAGAAGTTAAACCATAAGGCCTTTAGGATGTTAGCAATCGTCTTAGCAACAACCCTCTCTATATAAGATGATTCTAGAGTACAACCTTGTCCAACAAATCAAAGGTAGACTTAATATCAAGGAGTACAACGACCTTCGGCCTGCAATACGTGTGACGGTGTTTAAGAATCTAGCAAAGAGTAAAAACGTGGCCAGTGTATCCACAATCTGAAAGAAAGGGGGTTTGCTCACCACGGACCAGAATCTGTGAAGTTTGATTGTAGCCAATAATTAAGACGCGACCGGTAGCAGACTGACACCATGTGGATTATCACAAACACCGGGCATATATCTCTTGAAGATGAGTGTAAAAATGGCTTCATTCCAGAACGAAGGAACACTATCAATCTGAGAGACCTCCTCAAAATAATGTAATCAGTTTTTTGGCTAGTTTCAAGTCCATCCTTAAAAAGAAATGAGGGTAGGTTGTTTAGGTCAGATGCCTACGCACCAGTTTTTTTTTAGGTGGATCGACACTAACTGAACGTAGAGGAACTGAGATTTATGCTGTTGGATCGAGGGCAGCTGAACTGTTTTTCGAAATGTTCCACTTAGAATTCCAGGCGTTTATGAAAGTTGGAGGTCGGCGTACCACTTACTTCACAGACTGTCTCACTAAGATCAGGCTTTTTGATGCCAATGGCTCGAATGAGCTAGAACAGCTTCTGACTAGCATTCAGATGAAGCAGCTTACTCGTGGTTCTGCCACAAACTTAAGGGACTTACCGATATCATTGTACTCGCTACCTGCCGGAATACAACAGAGAGCGTTGCAAAAAACTCCCAGAGACGCAGCGTTTAGTAGTGAGACGCTCTTTAAGGCCAAAATCAGCCTTACTTGCCCTTTTCATGGTGAATTGTAAGTGCAGTCAATACTCATCTACACTTTCTAGAGGTTTGATAGTTAATCGTGAATCCAGTTCATTTTGACATGAGTCCAACCAGTTTGCTTAGGCTGATCCGTTTAGGACAACGCTTTTGATGATCACCAAAGTGCCAGATGCAATTACCACATGCTAAAACATCATGAGAATTGAGACGAGTGCCCTAGAAAGAGCAGTAGTCCTAAACACGACTACGCCACCAGTATCTGACTCCAAAATGACTTATTTGTGTCAAGGTTTGAATGCCAGAGGAAGAACGCAAAGTAGCACAACGGTCACGGTTGTGCTGGAAATCAGTGCTGGTTAGAAATCGGCTGTGATCTGAGCAAAGATTCAGAAGATGTTTGTTACTATCTGACGCGTAACCGATTAATCCTCTCTACTGATCACCTATATGCCCCCCCCTCTGAGCCTATGCGCCCGACGTGTGCATTCAAGTCCCCAGCCAAAATGTCTGTCAAGCGCAAATGGAAGATAATTTTTAATAAATGGTGGAACTCATCTCTAACTACATCCGGGTTGCAATCAGTCAAGACGTAGGCAGGGATAACAAAGAGACTTAGTTAACCTGGCCAGTTACTTCTCACTCTATTCGAACCTTCTGGCTTAACAGCCCGAAAGACTGTTATGGGGATCCAGTTGACTAATGCAGCTTTATTTCTGGCACTTAGCGCGAAAACCACGTTCAGGAAGCTCGACTACTGATTTCACAGGAGATCAGGATAAGTGCACTGTGAATGCACTTTTTGAGCTAAATAGATGGCAAAGTTAGTCAAAGCACTATTTCGATCTTGTATGTGGGTCTCTAAGACAGCATGTATCAATAGTGAGGCTTTCTAAATTCGTATCCAAATGCGTTTATTAGCTGATATGTATCAAGGCCCTAACGTCAGTCGTCAGCTTAGATGAAGCGCGACTTCAGAACAGTTGTGCCAAATATCGTACTGTAGAATAGCTTTGTAGAGACAACAGTTTAACGACTCAAGACGATGTGAACAGACTGGGATACTAGCCAGTGACTAGCAGCTGAGTGAAATCAGAAAGTGATAACGAAAGGAAAGTTTAAATCAAATGCGAAAGTAACGCAGATATCATGACAACATGGAATAGTCGGGTAGAAAGTCGGTAACACAGCAAGTTTTGTTTGTTGATGGTAGATCCAGTGAGCGATCTGTAATTCACTGTTAATTTTGATTCATAAATTGTATTTGAACTGTGATACTGCTCAAAAGCCATGACTAAAGCAAGTGGCTGTCTTAAGGGACTACTTTGCAAGCCTTTGATTTGAAGTTTCATCAATAGGACAATATATCAACGTGAGGTGATTCACTTCCATAGCTGCTAGTGACCAAGGTGGGTTCATATGCCCCTCATCCGTTTTGGATCGTCCAGTCAATGTTCACCACTGGTTTAGAACCAGTTTTTTAACTCTACTAGGTGTAACTACTATGTACACCAATAGCAATGAATGTTTACTTTCATTCTTGTACCTCTATGAAAACACCCCTCCACTTGAAGTCAAAGACTATGAATGCGTATTAGAGCACTTCAAGATGACCAAGGTCATCCCACCCTCCACCATGCACTTAGGATTTTACACGAAACTGAATCTACTGCTTTGACGCCTCAAGTGAATGCAATTCGAAAACTTTGTAAAGGTTTTGTACCAAACCATGGACTAGACCTAATATATACGGACTAACAGTACTAACCGGTCGCTTCGGTTAGATTTGTGAGTTCGTGGTCTGGTGGTTGGTTACTCATCCACAGTTCCACCTAAGACTCTAATGTCAGTAGATTAGCTTTAACACTACAGAACCTAATTCAGATTTCAACATTTCTGACTTTAACTCATGAAAGTGTGAGTTTACCTACTTTCCTTTGTTACTGTCACTAAAAAACAACTCGGTTGATCCAGAACATCAGATGGAAAATGTCTTTATTTTTCAGAAATGAAGGATAATAAGAAATATCTCAAGTTTTATAGCAAACCAATATTACTAACTAGAGAAAATATATATAATGTGTCATTTTGTTGGAAAATGTGAGTGATTTGACTGTCATGTTTGTCCTTTAAAAACACGACCACTAACATCGAGGCTCTGTGGGACAATAAGGTAACTTATTTTCAGCCAACCATTTTTTACTCCTATAACAAAATAGGATCTAAGAAGATACTACAGGATATCTTGCTGCTGTTACACCCTGGTGCAGTTACCGGAATTGAGATTAGCTACTTTTGGTCTCACCCTTCTACAGTCAAAATGTCCTTTATAAAAAAATCTCCGGAAACAAGCATTCTGACCAATATAATAACCGGTATGTATTAATACCGTCGGTGAGTCGAAACATTATTATACGTTATTGGATGTGCTTAGGTTACCGAACAGTACATAAAACTAAATTTAGTTGTTTAGTGATAGTCAAATGAATGTGCATGAATGCCCCAATGAAAAAAGTTATTTAAAGGTTGTACACTGGTTGAACGTCACAACAAATTTAGTATAAGAGTAGAATTTAGGTGTTGAAGTAGAGTGGAATTTCACTATAGTTCTTTTATTACATGCCTCACAGTGAAACAGTATGATTTACTGGAAACAATAGCTCTAATTAAAATGGTCTGACAGTACACTTATCACAAAAAACCCGTTTAAAGCAGTCAGTTCCAGTTTAAAATAGATATGACCACTGGGAAACTCAATTATCATTTCGTCAACAAGAGTAAATTGTTTTACGATGATACGTTTCATGGAGTCCTTGGTCAGATAGACACCAACAACGCAGGAGTTAACGCGACGCTGGTTTCTTTTAGTCACATGATAAAAACTATACTACACACTTTTGTTTTCTAATTCTTTGTTTCAGCTACAAGATTCGATATACTTCTCAGTCAATGAGTAGTCATTTACTCGTTATTTTCCGGTTAAACATCCTCCTAGCCAAAAGTCATACTTTTTCGTTTTAATTCACAGACTGGACACATGCGGTATACTGGTGACTTGAAAGTTGTGGGTGAGAGTTAACATAGGTGTGAATGATCATCGAATTTGAATTAACAGCTTTCAGATCATTGGTTATCTTCTGAATGTGCTAAAATTTTATACTACTAACTACATACGCACAACTAATATGGATTGAAAACGCATGGCTGTTTATTTTTCACGTTGATAACTAACCAGAAAGTCTTTAGATACAATCAATATCCTAACTTTAAGTAAATATAACCTATTTGGATTAGGACGCAAAAACCTGGCTTGGTAAATAGTTTGACGAGAAAAAGAGAGGTAACGTACTTCTATTCTTATTTAAAGTTTAAATAACAAAAATAAAATGTAATTCAGTAGTGCATGCCCAGAGATTATCAACAGTATTTAGTGGAGCTATTTGCAGGAGAGAGTTAAGTCAATATCAACATGGAATCTGGTAGTACTGCACAACCGTCCAAGTTGCAATACCACATCATGATACAAGACACGAAGATGAACAAATACGGAAGAAAGCAATCAAATTGGTAGAAAGTCGTTATAAGAGAAGATGGTATGAAACAGTGAACAAATATGTTGCACTTCTGATGAAGACAATGTTTGGATACATCTGCACCAATGAAACAGATCCAAAACCACGTCACCTCGAGTTCCCAATCATCGATTTGGATTGCCACGAGGACATGAACCAGGAAGTCTACATTTCATCACGTGGCTCAAACAAGCATTCAGAGATCCCATGGAATGGTGCCACGCATAAGTTTGGACACCATTAACCTTTTTCAGGTCAAACGTGGGCATTATGTCTAAGCCATCACTATTATAGGACAAGTATACTGCATTGTAGTTCGTGCTGTCCTGCAATACGTCTGACATGATTATTAAAGGTAGAGAATTTGAAGCGGTTACAAGTTTTTGATCAAATGTATCTTTGTAGCATTGCTCATATTTGGTGGAACCACCATATCAGCAATGTCGAGATTAGATGACGGGTAATAATAGGTGAGGGGGAAAAGTCAGTCGACGAGGTTGTGAACCTTCACCGATTGAGGTAGCTTGGATATGTGCTGCGTATGCCAAGTTACTCTCTACCCCGACATGGAATGCTAGAAGTTGGATTGGGTTGGAAGACGGCCCAGGTTGGCCGGACCAAGATGTGGCACCAGTAAATGAGGTCGCTGAAACGATAGGAATTAGTGGTTGGCGAGTCTTGGTGATATAGCTGAAAATAGGTCACAGTGGCGCAGATATATTCCCTCTGAACTCTTTAGCTTGGATATTTACACTAACTGTTATCTTCAAATAGTTTATTTGCTCGCAGAACTTTGAGTAATTTGATATCAATCTTTTCTTCCCAACTGTTCTTTGTATTCTACTGTGAAGTGCGGCAACTGAAACCGATGCACTAGTGTGCGAGGTTGTACGTTGATCATATCTGTTTGTCTGACTCAATCATCTGAGTCGATGAAAGTTCACAAATAACCGGTTTACCTCTTTTCCCTAAAAGTGTATGAGTGACTTTTACGTTATTAACGTGGTTCCACGACACACGGTCTAAGCTACGAAGGCAACGGTGATAGAACAACAAGCCTTCTTATAACGTCTTCCTTTAGTGACCATGTTTCATAGTCATACGGTAGAACGCAGTAGAACTTCTACAAAACATAATCGACTCTCAAGGCAATCAGATATCACACTGGTGCAATAGATGGCGTAAGTCGGCGAAAGGGGAGCGCATAAGTATATAGACAGTTATATAACCTCGGACATAACGGCTACTCCCCAATTTCGTTTATTGATAGTGTCAGATTTATTCCTTGATTATAAAGTCAAAGTACAATACACCAGTACTGCATCGGTTACAAGATGAAAGCTTAATAAATGAAGGATTTTTTGTGACTAACAAAGATGGAATATTAGTAGTGCACCATCATCTATAAAATGATACCTACTTTTGCCGACAAGACTAGGAATTCAAAATACAGATACCTAAAACTCGAAAGAAACAAAACTAGTTCCAAGTGGTTCAAATTGTCTTACTACATTTCATTTTCTGACGGTATCGTTTCATCAGTTAGCACTAGAGAAAATAATATAAATATGCACAGTCACGCAGATATATTCAAAAGGATCCATTTAAATACCTTCCACTCCAAGGTGCAATAACACCAGCATATGTAAGTCCAACAACAGCAAGGAAAATAACCCCAGCGAAGAAAACAGCTCCAAACGTAAAAATTTGCTTCAGTGCATCAGATGGGACCCGGCTTTGTAGGTATTTGAAGAAAGCTACAACCTGAGTAAAAATATGTTTTTAAACAGTAGGTATTCCAGCCAGGGTAACTGAATGATAGGTATATGTAGACAGTACACCATTATTATTTTAAGGATAGAAATGAAATTAGTTTGTTCATATTTAGAAGTTATTGATGCAAAACATGGCATAATTATGTAACAGATCAGATTGCTATACTTCATACTAGGACATTAATGCGGGAGTCGATAAGAAGAAATACAAGGCAATGAAAATATCAGTATTCTCAGATGACCATAATACATAGAGGATATGGAGGTGGGTAGGACGATGTTACGGAATACGACAATTTACATGAGGATTGTGTGCGAATACATCTACATCCCCTCTATGCAATTTTGAACATTCCTTAACCACTATGACAACTTTAAAACTGATGTCTAACGCTGACAAGTAGCATTCTTGGCTGAAATACGAAGGCTAATCTTCGAATTAGGAATCAATTTTAGTCGGTTTATATCTCATCCCTGCTAAGGGATCTTACAAACTTCCACTTTACCGGACGGTATTTAAATTGTTAGTTATCGCAATTCGGATAAATATAGATCACTCATAATTACGATCAAATTGTACGTCTGCTAGGTGAATCAGCACATCACAATAGTTTTTCTGAAAGGATTATTCACACTTCAGAATACTTTGAAAAACCAAAATATCTGGAAATACTTTCTACTCACCATTACACTCTCGAAAGCACGAATCTCAGATATAGAGGTATTGTCTAACAGAATTACTGGTCGATCTAGAGCACTCAGATGACGTAGTCCTGTTAGGTGAAGACGCAGATAAGATGCAGTCTTCTGGAAAACTTGGGTATCAATTCCAGAATGTTTGGGATGCGTTTCTCTATCCAAATACAAATTGTTGCTGGAAGACTGGTCTTTACTGATGACCTGCCTAACAACAAAAGGTAAAGTGCTTGAGCATGTTGACCGCATCACTTACATATAAAGTAAGACAGTCTTGGTGGATCAGTGGCTGATGCAGTCTCTGCACGGATACAAGCAGCTAATGGGTCATGGGTTTTAACACTGTTCCCCTTACCGAGGTGTATGCAGACAGTTAGTATACAGGTGTGGCTAATCGTCTACTGCACAAATGTGAACTAAGTTGCTGAGCCTTTTGATTCGACTTCAGTTCTATTAAGGGTTGAATGTACTGCGCTGCAGTCCACTCTGTTCTATCATATGGATATGAGACGGCTACTAGGAGTAGAGAATACGAGGTTACAGGTATCTGATCACCACTGCCTTCGTAGCATGGACCGTCGACCATGTGGTCACCATGTCAGTAATGTATAGTTTTATGGAGAAACGGAGCGTTAGTTAGTGAAGTTGTGAACTTCCATCGATTAATATGGCTGGGACATGTGTTAAATATGCTTAGTTGACATCTTCTTCGTCCCACGAAGCTAAGTGAAGTAGGTTTACGTTGGAAAAAGGTTACGGATAGCCAGATTAAAATATGCCATCAGTCCACTAAGTCCTTCAATGTTGTTCCATTTTTATTGATTTATTAGACTTATCACAATCTAACAGTAGTTCAGTGGATTACGTTTCGGACATAATTTATTGTCTATAGTCATATCAAGATAACCACACACCTTTGAGACATCCTTTATACTGTCCTAGTTTCTTGGCCCTTTTTGTGGTATGGACTGCGAGATTTTACATGTCCGGAACAGGTGATGAGTTATTCCTGTCGCATGTATTAGGTGCTGATTGATTTGATAGACAAAAATTCAGTTATCAATCCCTAACTGGCTTTTACCGTACCATCCTATGGTGTGGTCGTGTGTAATCACATGCATAGCTATGGCTGGGCTTTTTTCTAAATTTCTTACCTTGTTAGGATCTACTAATTTTGACCCAGCTAGGTTTTTGTGTTCGGATAGCCTAATTGATCCTGGTCGATTACTTTAACCTATGTATTTGACCTCGCAATCGTTGCAATGGATTTAGTACAGTTATTTTAATAGGACCTTTCAACCTGCAAAGCCTATTTCGAAGTGAGTTTGTAGGTTTAAATGTGGCTGCAATCTAAACCTCATTGATAATCCTACGTAGTGTTTCTGAAGTACCTTCTTGGTATGGTAATATTGTAGAGGTTTTAAATTCTCTCTTCACAGTACTGCCACTACTATTATTAACATCTGTGTTACCAATATTTTTCTTACGACTCCTAAGGAACCTATCAATTAATTTAGAAGGGTAATCGTTAGTGAGTAAGCTGTTTCTAATGTAACTGGTTTCTTGCTTTGGGTCTGTTTTACTAGTAAGTTTTCTGGCCCTGTTATTTAGATACTTTACCAAGCCAACTTTATCTGACATAAAGTGAGATGATTTAAAGTCTAAGTAACTATCTGAATGTGGTTTTCTGTAGACGCTAGTGTCTAAACTCCCATTTTGTTTCCGTTTTGTTCTGTAATCCAACATCGCTAATCCGTCCACAAATGTTAGTGAGCCATACAGTGAAGTGTACTTTCCGATTGGGGTCCGTGTGACAACAGAAACCAGGTGTACAACGCATAGGTGATATGTATGGAATTGATCCCAGTTGTGCCGATGTATCTTAACTTTAGTCGTTATACACAATTTAGTATTTTCTTATTCCACCTTAATATAGCACGACTTTCTACAACTTTTGGCGGCTTTCTCATTTCTTTGTCTTTCAAGTGTTTTCCCACTTGATGTGATGATATGAGGCACGGCAACTTGGATTTTTATGCAGTAATTCTTAGTCCTACGTGGGTCTTGTCTACCTATCTGTCTTCGAATAACACACAACGGTTGGAAAATATTTTCGTGATGTATAAAAGATAAAACCCAAGTTCGATCACTGAAATGGGATATTTGCTGTAAAAGGGCTCAAAATACTACGATACCATACGAAAATCATCTACATCATACTAAGAGCATTAGACGTCGAGGTACCGGCTGAATGAAATGGACTCTATCAGCGACTACGTGCATATTTATGTACTAGGTAATGAACCTCAGTAAATGTGAGGACTAACAATAGTACTTGGCCGCTAAAACCCATGAGCCAACATTTGAAGTCGAATGCCTGGACCAAAGGCTATATCCTCACCTGCCCGCTACTTTTCAGTTGACTACAGAACATTGTTAAACGAATATTATCCGTTTCCAGTTTTTTAATCTCCACTTGTGCTTCAGAAAAAGTAACCTGGCCGGAGAATTTCGCAACATCCCCACTGCACCAGTGTACAGCCTGAATTTTGACGTGTAGAATGACGAAAAGTTGTCGTCCACTCATCTTTTAAAAGGGGAGACAAAGGATTGTTCGGTAAATATATAATAAGCTACTTAAACAGCGATTAAGTACTTTAATTGCTATGTTGATAATGACTATAACGGCAGAAATAAAAAACCTACTTACCTGGAGAAGCGCAAATACTCCCACTGATGCCATATGTTCACTGGTGCGCAATGGTTGGAAACCAACAAAAGGTATTTGCATTGACATTAATAATCCCAAGATGAAAAATGTTGTGTATGCTACGTACAATTTAGCACTATAACGCTGCATAATAAGTAGCACGAAAATGTGCAGAGGGATAAGGTTTATGATGAACACGTATCCACCCCAAGCAGATACCATATAAAAGTATGAAACTGCACAAAATGCTGCCCAAGAAACCTTCCCCGTCTTAACAGCCTTGATCCACAAGTAGTACGTAAACATCAGTGCAAAAATAGCGATTCCTTCGTTATCATAACTCCCCGCAGCTGAACGGCTTATATAACCAGGTGCTAAGGAAAAATAACACTTAAAACGAAGGTTACCTATTGCAATAAAGCAAGCGGCGAACAACCCTGCCCCTTCATTCCATATTTCCTTTGTGAATAAATACGTCGCGATGGCAGTCATGCCACTGAATATAGGAGCGAGAAAAACACAAACTTCGCGTATATGTACCGGGAAATTTAGGAGTTGACACATGTAGTGGATGAATCCTACAATACGCTAATAAATATATATATGCAAACCTGAAGTTATCATCAGACCGGGATAAACAGTCCCACCAACAATTCTTCCAAGAGGATACCAAGCGGTGCTATCGAACCAATTATAAAAGCTCTTGAAACTATTTTCAACCATCTGCTTTGTTGCCCGGTAGTTGAACCATGGGTCAAATTCATGGATGACACTTTCAAAGCGTATAACTGAGAAGAGACGTATGCTGAACCCAACAATCCATGCCAGAAGCAGGATAGAGAACGTTATGAGGCCTGTACGACCTTTAGTCGAGACTGAAGACAGCCGACCAAAAGTAAAGTCGAACATTACTCACCAACCCGAAAGTCGCGGGTTGCCACAAAGCTTCAAGAGATGACACGTGTAAGACAATACACAACGCTCGAGGTCATATAGATTCAAACGTTCCAATATCGAATGCCCGACACGTGTTCCCCAATCCAACATCCAATATTGATAGCGTGAGCGTAGAAAACTGGTAGTTTTTGATCTCTCGCGTCTAGTTCTCAGGGCTTGGTTCCAGTTGTTCGGTTTACTCCTGCAGTTAACGAGGAAATCCCCTCTGCTTTCTTGCTTTCAGCTTAGGTGAGGTGGATGTTTTGTGGGTTAGTAAATTGTAATTTGTAGAGTGATTAGGGAGCTACGGGCTGCTGAGAAGTTTAGGGAACTGCCGTGACTCCTATCCGTGTGGGTACCTGTAAGAGAATAGTAAGGTAGTAGCAAAAGAATGAAGAGAGAATAAAAAAGAGAAGAAAAAATGACAATGGGGGAAGAGAAAGGGGAAGGAGAAGAAAAGTAGAGAAGAAACAGAGAAATAAGAATGAAAGAAAAGTATCTGTGAATTGCGTGAATGGTCGCGTGGGTTTGGTTCCTACAGAAGAATTAGTAGGTAATGTGGATGTATTAAGGAGGGAGTTGGGGGCTAGTGAGGTTGGTGACTACCTGAGTACGTCCGTGGTAGTCCATGCGAGGTGACATAACTGTCTAATCGTCTCTGGAATGAGTCGATTGAAAGAGCTATAACGATATGTCACGGTAAGGCATTTCATAAAGCACATACTCTTAGGGAGAAAAATTTGGGCCCGACTATGGTGTTGGCGCCCTGGCGTGCTGTTTTAATGGGGTCCCCTCGTGAAGATCGCTGAATTGCAGACAGAAATGATTTGTTTGCATGGTCTGCCTGATGGGCGATCTTGTACGCCATAATAGGGCCACCCCTTTTTCTGCGATAACCCAAGGTAAATAGGTTTAGGTGTTTAAGTCTTTCGGGATACGTCTTTCCCCTTAGCCCCACAACTGATTTTGTTGTAGTTCCTTGTATTCTTTCAAGGAGATTAGAGTCTCTCTTGAGTGTTGGAGGAGCCACCGTATTGAAGACCTCTAGATGTGGCCGCACGTGGGAGTTGAAAATGGTCAGGAAGAGTTCGGGAGTGAGGGCGCCAAGCTGACCACGCAGAAAGTGTAGAATGATGTTGTTATACCCTTGTAGTTGGAGATGGTGTTCAAGGTGTCAGAGAAGTTGAGCCTCAAATCTTTCTCCATGGACACTATGGTAGTAGCATGGTTCCTCAGCATGTACTGGAAGTCGGTCGTACTTGCTTCATTTTTACTGGTGTGCATTACCTTGCACTTTTCCAGGTTGAAGCCCAGGCCGTTTTCCGACGACCAGAGCTCGAGTTGCCCCAAGTCCTCTTGTAGAGCTGTACAATCAGCTTCTTCGTTTACCACCCTCCAAATTTTTATGTCGTCAGCGAAAAGGAGGATGGGTGAGGATATTTTATGTGGCAGATCGTTGACAAACAGGAGGAACAGAAGCCGTCCTAGGATTGCTCCTTGGGATACTCCTGACGTCGAGGGTCTCCACTCTGACCTTATTCTGTTTGCTTTAGTGCAGAACTGCCTCCCTTCCAGGTACTCCTTGAACCAAGAGAGTAGGGGTTCACTTACACCAGCTGACATGATCTTGTGAAGCAGTACTGTGGGTGAGAGACTGTCAAATGCTTTGGCTAGGTCGAGAAATACAACATGCACCGGTTTTCTGTTATCCTAGCTTCGTGTCCAGTCGTCCCAGACGGTTAGTAAGTTGGTGGCACATGAGCGACCACTCCGAAAGCCATGCTGAGTAGTATGGGCAGTGTTTTCTCTATTGAGGAATTCCCAGATGGTGTCAGCTACCAGGCTTTCTAACACTTTCGACACAATAGGAAGTAGAGCAATTGGCCTTACTCCCTTACTGGTCGACTTTCTTCTCGACATAAGCGGTACAAGTTTTTGGGACTGCTTTGTAACCTCTCCGCCAGGTTTGTTTGGCAGGAAAATCTGTCTCTACCCACTCTAATGTTACAGCGGTTGCGAATCCTTTTGTAGTTCAAGAAGTCAGGCTCCCTGTGTGATGCACGCCACTTGAACCAAGCCTGCTTCTTGCTCTGGACAAGCCTCTCCGTCCCACGCTTTAACCATGAGGTTCTCGCCGATTGTCTGTGTGTTACTTCTGGTACACTGTGACTAGTGGCCCCAGTGATTATTTTCTTCACCTCCAACCACTGTTCATCTAATGTGAGATGAGCCCAGTCTACCGGCCATGATGCATTCATGAGGTAGTCCCTCATTGTCTCATAGTTGGCCTTGCTGCAGCAAGGGAAGGTGTTGGACGTCTCCAGTTGCAGAGCCACCCTAGTAACCATGGAGGTGATTACAGCGTGGTCACTGAGGCCAAGGGTAGGTTGGATGCAAACATCCTCAATGAGAAGTTCATCGTTCGTCAGAAAGTGGTCAAGGCGCGATGCGTTTCCGTTAGGTCCCCAGCGTGTAGCATTACCCACTTTCTCTGAGAGGCCAGCAGTCTTAATTGCATCCTTCAGCCTCTGACTGAAGGATCTGATGCGTCTCCCATCCGTCTGGAAGAGGATGGACGGGGTGTTGAAGTCGCTGGCAATGACTACGGAATCGTAATTTGCAGAGGAAGTCGTTAAGATCGCCTTGATGACCATTTCCTTATGTGTAGGGGAGCTGGTGGGGGACCGATATGTGACTCCGAGTAAGTATTTGGAACAGTGAATAGTGAAATAGCACCATAGAGATTCCGGGAGCCGGGTTAAGGAGGTATCGCTAACCATCCTTGCCTTTAAACGGGAGCTCACGTAGAGAGCTACTCCCCGTCCTGCTCTGAGCTCTCTGTCGCCGCGGAAGAGTTCCATGCCAGCAACATGCATCTCTTCGTCGGAGATGTCCGGCGAGAGCCAGGATTCGGTGATGAACATGATGTCGGAGTGCTGATGTTCACGCAGCGTCATCATTTCTGCCGCCTTCCCTTTTAACTCCGTAACGCTGCTGTACATACATATTAGAGTGTGCCTGGTGAGAGGGGAGGTCTGGTCGTGTAATTTCGCGGATGAGCGCTCACTTGGTTGGGTCTAGCGTCGCAAGTCCTCATAGGGCTGGCATTGTTAAGTTTCTTGCGTTTTGTTTTCAACTTGAGTGCGGGCTGTGGCAGTGGTGGCTTCTTCACTTGATGTATCTAACTCACTGGTCAGAGCCTGTGTGACGACCACTGACTCCAGGGGTCTTGGTGGTTGCCGTCTCTCCTCTTGCCTTGTATGTCTAGGCTTACTTTCACATATACGTATTGAGCCACCCATGCGATCTTTCGCATTATACCATGCGTGTAGAACGTCTGTGAGGGAGGCATATGAGTCGAACTGGAAGGCGAGTAGTCTGAAATTGGGTATGGTCTTCAGATGCACTGGCCTTGGCAGTCTACTGACGCTGTTGGCCGGTATACTGTCGAGACCAACTTTGATTGGGAGCCATTGCCATTGTTGGACGTCGTGAAAGTACCAACCTTTAACCGAGCGGTCACTTGGCAATTCTGGAATCCCATGTACAACTATAATGTTGTTTCTGCTGGGATTTCCAATGGGATTTTTAATGGTGAAAAAAGAAAGTATGACTGAAAATGATGCAAACCTCAACACTCTGTATACGCTGAGAAGTGGTATTTTCTTGTTCATTTCATGACTTGTATAGTCTTCTGATGTCTTCACTCTAATTTAATGACCTCCATTCCGTACAATTTAGATCCCGTAAAATCTTGTGAATTTTCCAACATACATCAATGTGGTGATGCATGTAAACTGCCTTCCCTCGTGTTAAGTTTCTAACATGAGAAAAATAATTATTTATTTAGACCCAAACAACACCTGGAGATAAGCCTTACAGCGTGTCAGATAGTATGAAAATTAGCACTATGGGTTTGTGACTGCATAAGTTTTTTTCGGTCTCCTTCCCTGGAGATTGGCTAAAGTATAGCGTGCCTCTGTATTTTGGGCTGTTGACCTACCCCCAACGAGGCCGGCAACAGTCTGCGCTTGGGTGTACTTGGCACGCTGACAAAATTCCGCAGGACCACTGGTCTCATGTCCTCATAGTCCAGGGATTTGCCGATTCTGAAACACTCAGTCCAATAAAATCTTTACATTCATAAGCTTTGTATTACAGTCCTGACACTTTGTCACATTACTGGATGCCGGTGGTAGATGCGGTGTCGAGATACTCATCAGATCGGCCGCTCAACAGTTCCGTTATCTCACCGCTAGTCACGGATTCTCCGCCAGGCCCCAACCTTTGTTCGTCGGTTTCCTCTGTGACATAAACAGGTATAGGCTTTTAGGGTTGTGCCTTAGCTACTTGACCACGTTACCCTGGTATTTACACCTGACACTACGGACGCCTCTATAGCATGGGGTGAGTAACTTCTTGTAGCCAGGGGAATCTGATTCCTTGCGATGTGTGCAGCTTACACCATGCCCTCTTTTTCCTCTCTACTTGCTTTCGGGTCGTACTAGTAACTCAACAGTGTATGAGAGGTGGTCGTCTGGTTAGCCTCGGCAGATTCCTTCCGATAGCGCCCCAGACAGTATCTTTCATGTGTGTCCAGTGATCAGCTGTTGTCAGAGAGTACCACTCCATTTGGCCATGCAACTTTCAGGTGTTCGCTCCCCACAACCTGTTGGTCTGCCTTACGATAACAGATGAACTCTCCGGGTTTAACTATTGATGGATTCTTCTTGGTTATCCTGGGGAACCTCACCAACGCGTGATCTCTTTGTCTAGAAAAGGTGGATAAAGATATCGTCCACCACATATCCTCGTCTGTCAGAATGTAATCAAGTGGTGATCCTTTTTCATCTAGCCCCCGTTGGGTGTTTTCCCAAACCTCCCTCGTCGGTTCTGGTGCCATAAAGGTATTCCGAAGCATCTGTTCAGAAAATTTATGCCTCCAGCATCCACCTGACCCCTAGCCGAGAGTGGATGATTTGAAGTCTCCTGCAAGGACCAAGTAGTCGCAAACTGCCAAGATGAATGCAGGAATTGCAGT